GTTTGTCTTACTACTTTTAATGAAGATGATTGTGTGTTGACCATCTGCGTCTTACTTTTTCATTCGACTTGCTGAAGAGATACTCAGCTACTCGTCCGCAGCGATGCGTGTTGCATTAGCGCAGTCTGACTAATGTCATATAGCCTATAACACGCTCTCACACGTTTATTATTTTAACATTTTGGGAGGAGTAAAATTTACATATGTGGTTTCAACAACCAGATGCATTTACACTGGTCCAGTTTTGTCTGGAATGCCGCCCAGACCACCTCCTGAAGTGGTTTGAGCGATCGGATTTATATCCGTCTCGAATGCGTTTCAGAGGGCATTTACACCTGGTCTTTTCACGATCGGATAGCTATCCGATCAGACAAAACGCATGAAGTGACCAGGTGTAAACAGCCCCTTTGATTTTTTTTAAATAAAAGAATCCTGAAAAAAAAAAGTTTAATGATGTCCACAAAAATATTAAGCAGCACAGCTGTTTTCAACATAATAAATCAAATCAGCATATTAGAATGACTTTTGAAAGATTGTGATACTGAAGTTTTGAATAATGGCTGTTGAAAATTCTGCTTTGCCATCACCGAAATAAATTACATTTTAAAATATATTAAAACAGAAACTGTTGTTTCAAATTGTAATAATGTTTCACAATATTTCTATTTTAACTTACATTTTTATTAAATAAATGAAGCCTTATTGAGCATAGGGGACTTGAAGAGCGAAGAACGATTGGGGAAAATGTTAGCCAATCAGTTCATTAGCATGTTAGCAAGTCTTAAAGATACAGTAGCATGAACTTCCAATTTAATTCTTGCTCTCAGAGATAGGGCTGCACGATAAATCGAAATGGAATCGAGATCGTGATTCGACAGAAGCTGCGATTGTCATGCGTATCTTTCAGTGAAGCACGGTTCTGTGATCAGCAGTAAATCTCCATCCGAAGGCTAGAGGGCACTCTCGCTCTGAAACTCCAAATATGCCCCGAAGAAGTAATCCAGGAAATGCCTATCGCTGCAGCTGAATAAACAGAAGATTAAACTGCTTACATGACAATCGCATTCGATTAATTGTGCAGCCCTACTCAGAGACTTTCAGTTTTCATGTACAACTAAATTGTGATAGTGAGAAATAATAGAAAAAGGGTTAAAGATCGACTCCAGTGTGAAACTTACAGTTGAGTTTGTGTTTGTGCTGCAGCCCCAGGTCTCCAGTGGACATGTCGGTGGAACCACAGAGGAACAGCAGCTGTACTGGGCCAAAGGAACAGGCTTTGGCACAGGCTCCACTGCGTCAGGCTGGGATGTTGAGCAGGCTTTGACCAAACAGCGTCTGGAGGAGGAGCACGTTACCTGCCTCTTACAGGTGTGGGTTCATCGAAATAATACAAATGAGATTTCGAGTTTACACCTGTTTGGATGTGTGATGGTACATTCTGTGTCTCTTTCAGGTTTTGGCAAGCTATATCAACCCATCAGGCTGCGTGGGATCTGGTGAGACCCTCTCAGGAGAGGTCAGAGGTCACAGCAGCTCACTGCTGCCATCTGTCCTGCAGGAACTGCTCAGCCAGTCCTGTCTCATCCCCGCCATGTCTTCATACTTGCGCAATGACTCAGGTAGGACACGTGCCACTCATGGGATGTGCTCTGCGCTTTACTGTTTGCAAAATGAGAATGAACACAACTTTTAAGGTGGTTAAAGAGATGATGCAGTGTATCATTTGCATGTGTGCCTGAGAAAAAAATTTGTTACACGTTCCACTTTGTGCCTCATTGTGTATGGAGACAGCAGGTGGAGCCCCTGTCTCTTCTGAGTGGTCTCTCTATCTCTCTTTGTCAACCATGTTGTTGTTCTCAGGTGTTAAAGGGATAATTCACCCATTTGCTCATTCCTGTGTTGTTCCAATCGTGTGTTTTGGAGGAATTCTATTGCTACATAAAGAAAGTGAAGAAGAATAACAAAAAAGCATGATCAAAGTATCATTGAATTATTCGCATGACGCTATACACAGTATTCCAAGACTCCTAAAGCCATATGATAGCTTTGTCTGAGAAGCAGACTGAACTTACGTCGCTCAGTCACTTTACTTTGCATGTTTGTGAGAGAAGTAGCAATGTTTGATTTTCTTACCGAATCAGTCCTTTAAATCAAATCTGTTAAATGAATCTTTTGATACAGTTCACAAACCTGTGTGAATGATTTTCATCAGTCAGACTGATTAGGTTCTTGAGTTTAACTCATCGACTCAATGATCTAGTCGCGCAGTTAACAGCTGAACGGAGGGGAAGGATGTCAGTGAATAATGGTCTGTTAATCACGTTAAAGGTGACATATCATGAAAATCTGACTTTTCCAGGTTTTAAGTGCTATAATCAGGTCCCCGGTGCATCTACCAACCAAGGAAATGTGAAAAAGATTAACCCAGTAACTTTGTTTTGGTAAGCCTTTTTCTGCAAGCATCTGAAAAAACGAGCGAGTCTGATTTAGCTCTCCTAGTGATGTTGCAAAGGGAACTTATTATAATATTACCGCCCCTTAATTTGTAAGTTTCCACCCACGGCTAATAAATGATCTGTGGGGTATTTTGAGCTGAAACTTCACAGACACATTCTGGGGACACAAGAGACTTATATTACATATTGTAAAAAGGGGCATAATATGTCTCCTTTAAAGTCTTGAATACACTTCATGATTAGGCCTATGTCTCAATTTCCAGTCTCAAAGAGTCAACACTATTTGCCAAAATTTAGATCTGGTCTGCAGATTTTAAGCAGAGTTGACAGATTTCAGAGAAAATTGCATAATCTATGACGACATGGGCACAGACTTAGATTTTTTTTTTTAGATTCAGATTAGTGATCGACCGATATTGGTTTTTTGGCAGCCGATGCCGATATCTTGGAAAGTAGGATGGCCGATATAAAGCCGATATAATTTTATTTATTTTAATTAATGTTTAAGAAATTTGAAATCATTTGAAAATGAATTAAAAATAAATGTGTTAAATAAACATACTTGTACTTTAGATGACAAAGTATTTTTCACAAATAAATAAATATTTAATAAATAATATAATAAAAAAAAA